TAGAATCGGCCCGTTTGCCAGCTATTATAGTTGGAATCTATTACTCTTATAATAGGTAACTCGATACTGTTGGTAGAGGATGAATCAACATTTAAAGCGTTAATTTTGCAGTAAAGTCACTCATATGTCAGTCACTAATATAACGAATAAAAGAGCTAATATAAACGCATAAGTATGTACATTATCGTCAGAAGAGAAGTCACCGCTAACCCTCTTTCCACACTCAAGTAAAACTTGATAATACTGACTGATTTTCTGATAAGTTATCAGCAGTAATAATGAGTTGATTCTAGAACTGAACTTCCAAAAAACTTGGTGATCATTTTCCACATTTTTCCAAAGATGACAAAATTTCACTTAGTTCAACTCTTCAAGAAAAAACACCTGAATTAAATCATATTATCACGAAATGGGAATATAACTTCCCAGATCTAGATCTACTCTTGGAAAAGATCAACTAGAGGACAAAAAAAAAACACAACCAACGTGAAAATTTGCCACTTCTGTCCAGTTAGGAAGTCACAGTCCAGTTAGAACCCCTGATTCGGAAAATTTCAGAAAATTTTAGACAACTCCTTCTAGCTTCTAGCTCTTCATGCGCTACTATAAGCTCTTGCGCAGGCAGCCATGTGTATGGCAGTATTTTTAGTATTGCCGGAGGCATCCGCTACTTATCAGCCGGCCCTGAAGTAATGAATTACCTGGGTGACATGTGAGGTGTTTAACTCGAAAATTTGCCTCCAGACTATTCACGTGGTGAGCGTCGAGAGTTGCACCATACCAATCAGACAACAGTTGCGGGCAGACACTTAATGAGCCTTTCGGTGGCGAGATGCGCTACGTTTATCTAATGCCTTTGCATGGGGCACGTGCAGGTGGCTTGGTTCTGCGTAAAGGCTCTCCGTAGTAGTCTCTGAAAGACGCAGTTATTTAGACGCTAGGCGCCTAAAAACTTTGACACGCAGTCCACCTGCTGCGACACGCCCCGCCCACCGCTGTTCCTTGTATTGTGCATGAAAAAATTCGCACTTTGCGTCGGATAATTGATTCTGCTGATGTCTCTTCGCCTCCTGATTTTATGAGTCTCTAGGCGCTCGACATTTATCTTAATCATCTCTCCCCTCGGGGTTTGAACTGTTGGGCCTTTGAGAACTTTTTCGTGCTCCATGCCGCGCGCTAGAATTAGAAGCGCGCTCTGATATTTTCTCGCAGCATTTCGATCATGATCATTTGTTTTCTCTGTTTCTTGCACGTGCGAGTGTCTCCACTACCTACCCCTACATCACATTGAGATGAGGAATACCTTCATACATATCATCCTCGCTATTGCCATGTTAACGATTGACCGATTACGAGTGCTCATAATTTTACACATGTGTGCAGAGCAGCAGCATACTGGGAACGGTTGCAAGCCTAATGATGAGTGTGTAGTGGCTCAGTTTATGTCGCTGTTAGTCCCTGGGCCGCTTGAATGGTGTGCAGTTATCTACATCGTATGACTTTTAATCAGAGCGCCAGTGATAAAGACTTCTCTCTGATGTAGTTGCGTGCTTCTCTGCTCTTGGGCGCGCCGCGCCATGAAACTGGATCAATAGAAATGTGCAGAGGGGGTTCGCTCTGGGGAGTTTCGGCATAACCTTGGTTTTCTACCAGCAAGTGCAAAGATTACCGGTTGCCTTTTGCTTGAGCTTTGCTCGAGCCTGGGGTTGAAATCCATACGTCAAGCATACTCACCAGACAAACCGTCGGTCGATATAGTGAGTAGCAGTTTATCCTAGAAAAAGCTGCTGTTCTACTGGATTAATGGCTGGAAGGCGATAGGGCCTCTCCAATGGCAGTAGCAGGGTATGAAGTTGAGTGAATACCCCCGGTGGACGTGACCACTGAGTGTTTACGAGAGATCGTGAAGCTCGTGATATCGACTGTGATAACAGTGATATGTGCGAAATCAGCACAGCTCCACAGTATCAGTATCTCGCAGTGTACGAAAATTCTTGCGCAATAAGTGCATCTCGACGAAAACTCGTAGCGCGAAAACTCCCTTTAGCTAGCCATTTTCTAACTCTGTCTCGATGACCACAGACTCAAGTGCATCGGGGCTCAGCGCAGGCCTCTTATGCTCAGAATCTAGTGATCAGGCTTTCGCGCATTGTTAGGAAGGGCGCTGATGCTTTTATGGAATGGGAACTACTTAGGGGGGATATGCGCCTTGTGCTAGACACAGAAGCTCTTTCGCTCAGTTCCAGCCTCGAAAATTACTCTGCAATGAAAGGACTGACCTGAGATGTCTATCTTGAACTCTCAGATCTGTGAGTTGCGCTATACATATGACTACCCTTCGGCCGAAGTTTGTCGCAAAATTTAGATGATACTCGCTTGACATCTGTTGGTTTCGCACCAGGCAGCCTCTGGCTCTCTCAGCACATGATTATTTCCGTTTCGTCGTCGCTGTAGCATCACCGCGTGATCGCGACGCGTGGGTGAGATTGCTGGCACGCATTCGTGCTAGGTCTCGTAGTTCGCATCTGAGATATAAAGCTCCTGTATAATACGAACACTCTCTCATCATACTCTCTTATCTCGTCTCTGCTACACCAACGGGTGTGCACACTGTGTGTATATTTATTAATACTTTTTTCACTCCGCAGCGATAGTAGACCGACTGGATCGTTATCGTCATTTCTCAAAGATAGACAAAGATCCTGGCCAAGTGGCTGGAGGGTCAGGACGACACCTTGATTGAACGTGCATGTTCGAGTTGAATCGACCTTTAGAGCAAAGATTCTGTCGTACTAGTTACTAAAACAACATCTGAGCAACCGTATGTGTGTCTTTCGCTCATTACGAAGACCAAAATCGTGATGAGTAATGCCGAGTTCTTCAGTGAGCGTGGGCGTCGCTTTGCACGAGTGTATGTCCGGAAAGGAGTGGAAAATGAGTTGGGATCGATTTGTTTCTGAGTCCTCTTGGCTTTCCGTATGATTGTTAAGAAACATTTGAAGACGAGTAGGAGTAGTTTGATAAGCCTTCTGATGACGAAAAGTATTGGGTTGAGAATCCAATACATTGATATGATGAGCATGACGGATGCCGTGGCGAGCAGGATCTCGAGCTTAGTCAAGCACTGACTATTGTAGAATTTTCCAGCCATAAGGGAAACAATTAAGTATTCAGATGGATTGAGCAGAGGGCATGTTAGTGGAAGTACTGAATGTAACACGTATTCCATTTTGCCATCCGCTGATTTGTACCGTATATCTGAAGACGATGAGCTCTGTCGGAAACATTGGAGAAGTGGCCGATATGTGTGTTGTGAAGATACAGTAGGAGGCGATGCATGCTTCAATGGCGTCAATTATCCTGTCCGCTTTCGCTTCTAGTCCTCCTTTCGAACATTATATGGCGATAGTAGCAATTGGCTGGTGTCGCATAATTTGGTAGATTATGGGCGGTAGAATTCTCCTGCTGGTGCGGTGGCCCCATGCTTATGGGGTGATGAGAAAGGTGGAAGACGTCGTACTGCTAAAATCGTGCAGCGCTATGGGAGTATCGTATATGCAGAACTTGCTAGCATGGTCGCTGCAGGAATGGTTTTCGCAGAAGACAGATGTTCCTTGATACGGGGGTGCGGTTGAGACTCGCTTTCCTTCTGCGTTAATACACACGAAGTCACTGGAATTAAGATAGTCCTTGATCGTTATCTGGAGTCTTGGCACTAGTAGGACACTGTTGTCATATAACTCTGGTTGAAGTTGCCGATCTTCTTCCTTGGGCTACAATTGTCGCTTTTGCTGAAGTGAGCACACGTCGGTGACCACGATGTTGAACCATATTCTCGTCGCCTAGAACGTGAGTTGGTGTTGTCCGCGGTCACCGGGACCACTGCAATTGTCTTGCCCCATGTATCAGCATCCAGCAGATCACCTGCCGTTGTAGGAACGTCCGCCATATCTCGTCTTGCTGTTCGCAACATTACGTATGTGTCCAAAGTAATGAGGGCAGCCCTGCTGTCCTTGATCTGGTATGCCTCCGCCGGGATCGGTTCTCGTTGGGATTTCCCCTTTGCAATGTCGCTGAGCAGCTCCGGCCATATGATGTCGTGGAATAAGTCTTCGTCATCGTACAAAATGTCGTTTATCAGCGCACATCTCAAAAGCGGTGCTTCATCTCTCCACAATTGATCGTCGCGCCCCAGACTTTCTGCGAGGAATCCCATTGTGCCGATATCCAGAATCGCCGGCCCCGTCGTCACTGAGCCCAGGCTTGGTGTCAGTGCCTCAACTTCCATGCGATTTCGTTGCATGAAGGCGTGCCAATGGGAGAAGGGCGCCGTCGCAGAGGTTCCTCGATGACCAGAGTTGACGAGCACTTGTACTGCCGTCCTTTTTGATGGATGTGCCAGTGTGTACACTTTCTTGACCGTATAGGAGATCATACGGATGGTAAATTTTGAAGTCACGTCAGCCAGCGAGACGCTGAAACAACTTCGGTCTTGCTGAGATACTGTATTTGTACTGCGGAAGTACATCCTGACGTCAGATGGTGATGCGAACCGGGCTCCTTCGAGCCATAGTGATGCACTTGCCGCAATTCCCGATTCAAATTCAAGGTCTTCGATCTCTTCGCTCGTTGTCCTCAGTCTTCCCGAGGCAGTCAGGTTTCTCAAGTGTTCGCGGAACTGAGAGGTCTTGTTCTCTTCGGTAGTCGTTGTGGTTCGAACGGGGAAAGGGCACTCAACGCAGCCCCCGATGCCGACAAGAGGTACAGCCACCACTGTTCTCCGTCACAGATGATGCGCGTTGAGTATAGCCGTTCACACCCATGATGTGACCCGGGCGAGGGCCAGAGATCCAGGGGGACAGGAGGTTCGGTCTCACGTTTCAGATTTTACTCATCCACTGCCTCCATCACCGTACAACCCCTTTCTCTCCTTCCCAGCCGACATTGGCCTCTGCCTTGGCCTGCGCTGGCCCCGCCCTCAGTGTCGTTCACTTCCAGCAATGTTCTGCCGTGTTACTGTTGCCGTTTTGTTGCTGGCCGTTTCGGCACATGCTGGATTTTTCGGTGATGTCAGCGGAATGGCTAGTGATGTTGGTGACTTTTTCTCAAAGCAGTTCAACAACCTGAAAGATCTATTCGCTGGAAACCAATCGGAGCTTGAGAAGAACATTCAACGAGTGAAAGATCTCCTGATGGCGATCAAAGAGAAAGCAAAGATGCTCGAGCCAATGGCCAACGATGCACAAAAGAAGACAATCTCAGAGGTTAACAACTACATGCAACAAGTGGAGGCCTTCGGTGCTCAGGTGAAAAAAGACGGAGACGCGAAATTCGAGCAACGGTACCATCGAGAGGACGAAATGGGCTTGGTCCCTCGGACAACTACGTGACGGGAACGACGTGTACATCAGCGCGACACGGCTTTCAGGTATGGCCCACGTTGCAATGAAGCAAGAACCAACGAAGACCAGACTGGTGAGAGGAAGAGCTGGCCAAGGTCGAGATAATAACGCCCATGGATCAGCTCTTTGCCGGCTGGCTTACTTCATGCCTACGCGCAGCGTCGTGCCCTGGCGATTGACGTCCAATCACATCACAAGAGCATCTGAGTTACGCCCTTGGCGAATCGCTGCAGTACTATCTATGTATCGGTGGATGCGAAGGCGTTCGACCATCAGATCCCAGCCTGGTTTGTGGAGGAGGCCAGTGTGTGGCGGCACGTGTGGCAGGTGAGGAAGAGCTGGCCAAGGTCGAAGTTGCAGAGCTGCGCAGGCTCAGGGTGGAGGTGTACGGTCAGCGTATGCGGTATTGCGGAGGTGTACTTTCCGGGTGGCGAATGACCTCGGCACTCTGGCTAGCGAGATCGTCTGCCGGAGGGTCGTTGAGAGTGCTCAAGCAGAAGATTGCAGGTTCGAATCCTGCCGTGGTCGCCATTTAGTCGATGCTGTCGTTGGAAGATTTATTCAAGAGGTTTTAACCGACACCTTTCAAACACTTAGCGCTTATACACGCACAGAAATTCAGATTTGTCTTGTGATTAATGGGGAAAAATCATGCAATTTTCAAGCTTCTAGACATACCATCAAAGGCTCTAGTCGAAAACAACTGAATAGAATGATTCAGCATAGAAGAAGATGTTACGATATGAAATTGTCATATAGTAATGGTGACTAATTCGGAAAGTTTATCATGATTTGATCAATTTATCGGTCAGATAAAGTTACATTGTAGTGAGGCAAATTATGAGCTTATCAATGAGTACCTTAGTAGCATAGACTGGATGGAGTCTTTCAACTGCTGCTTTAACGTACTTGAAATCTATGATATGTTTTTGTTTATATTGCATCATACTATGAAGTCTTTGTGTGTCTATACAGAAAGTTTCACTCTACTCTTCCAATTTACCGAGTCTCATCTAACCCTCGTATAGCATTTCAAAAACAGAAGCTTACAGTAAAGCTCTTTTCACGAGTAAAGAGGAGGCTTGGCAACGTTATGAATATGCAAGGTAAATCGATCGATAGAATAGAATGGGGTAGAAGTGTTGAGATGTGAATGCATTAATCGAAAAAGCTCAGAAAGAGATTCTAGTTGTGAGGCACTCAATGACTATTTGGAAGCATTCCCGTCGCCAGCACTTGTGACAAATTCACTTTGAACGCGTAGCAGCGCTTTCGATTTTTTGAATTTTTCACCAAAACAAATGCAATTTTGCTGTTCTTTTCATTCCTATCGTGGATGATGAGTCTCAAACCAGTGATTTATGGCTGGAATAGCCATGATTTTCCGTGAAGGATTCCTTTGAACAAACAACGAAGAATTTATGTGAGCGGGATAACATTGTTATCGGAATTCCCATGGCCAAGCTTGCACAGCATCGATCACTCCTTGATGTTTGTGTTTTATGAAGTCCTTCGACAGAGGTGATCTCACTGCATCTATCCAGCCCGCAGCCCGATCCCTTCCTTCCAGCAAGCCAAATACGACCCCCCCCCCTTCCGACTTGTCGAGGATTCCCCAACGCATGCTTGACCCTGGATCGGGGTTCAGTGATCTCGAAATTTCCGAAGGCATCGTTCATCCAAGCTTCGGCCTAATTCAGTAGCATCTTGTTGTACGGTAGTGGTATGTCTAAACAGTGAAGTGCTGAGATCTGTAAGGCACAGAGAAAAACACAGTATTTGACTCGATGGTATGTACGCATGGGATTGCAAGGCCAGAAGTGAGCGTTGAACTGAGCCCTGACAGATTATTCCAGTGGGGAAACGGGCTCGCGTTGTGTAAGACTTCAGAAAGTTTTCCGACGTCACCTTCCGTGTGCTGTGGCACTCCATGATCGCAAGATTTCCATGATTTTTGAATGCTTTTCTACGTGTATGCTTCCAGTGATCATCAACTTTCATGCATTTCTAAGCAGTCTTTTTGACTATAGAAATCCTTCAACCGTAAAAGTTGGGCAATCATGGTTAGAAATCTTAACCTTGCGAATAATAATAGCCAATCATTTTGCTTTGCAACACCAACTAGACAACACTTCCTATGAAATATTGTAGTGCAAGATCTACATGTCTCTCCTCAAACTAGAGCAGCATAGAAGTAGCTAATTCGTCACCGAAAGATTGAATGATCAAGTTTGAAGCGTTTTATGAGGAAGCTGCATTCTCATCATTAATTTGAAAACAACTCCTCATCTCGTCCTTTCGGGCGCTCACTTTTCAATATCGCCCCATCTAACAGGGACTTTATTGGAATTTTTTTGAATTAACGATATTAGTGTTTAGTTTCTAGAAATGAAGAAAATGAGCAGCATTGTTTCAAAAAATATGATTTATTACATATAATGTTGCACAGTGGATTTGAGCATAATATTCAATCAAATTGCATGACAACGAGCACCAAAAAGGAATTGAGATAGAAATTTCTATGCAGCAGCAGGATGACGCTAAAAAATCAAACGCGCAGGACACCTGCGGAACAAAGACTTTTTTAGAAGTTTCAACTTGAAATAGCAAAAATCTTCTGTGAGCCACTTTGGTCTTTTTACCCATGTGAGAATACGAGAACAGACTGGAACAATGGCATGTATGAAATGGAAAGCATGTTTCATAACTAAATTCTTGTTAATCTGGCTGTTACATGTGTTTTATGACATTGGCGTATCCGAGAATACTTCTCGACTATATGAACCCGTTGGAAATATTCTCTGTCGTTACTGTGCAGGAAAATATTAGGATTGTAGACCAAATACAATCAAATATCACAGGATTAATAAATAGAGGAGCCTCACAAATTGTGCCTCGACTAGCGTGGACGTCTGGAAGACGCGGAGATCACTCTGAACCGAGTGCAAGTTATATGAATTGCAATTGATTAGGCTAAACTAAATCGCCGTCGAGTTGCGAGTAGGAAAGCGGTCCAGGGCGTACTCCCGTCGGCTGGATGAACGTTGATAAAAGGTGTTGAGGGCTATTGTTGTTGTTATTATTTGGAATGTACTGGCGGCGAGAAATCGAGCGATCCGAATATACAGAAGCGTCGTGTGGTGGTTCCTTCAAAAGAGAGGATTAGACGTCATTTTGAAAACAATTCTTCTTCTCCACCTCATAACGTAACTTGCACGGATAATTGACAATCTTTTTCCACATAAACTCACGTTATGTATGACCACAAAAAGGCACTCGTAAAGTTGCGCGCAAAAAGTGGAACTTTCATGGAAAACAAATCCTACGAAACATGATAGGCGTCAGACTTCGCGACCTCACGCAAGCAGCACGATCAAAAGTGGCATGGTACAGCACTGGCGCGGAATATTGAGGTCAGCTTTGGCTGTTTCAGATTGATCTATTGACTTTCACTCACAGACGACGTGTGCTCGTAAAGCTTGAGACGTGCGTAAGGGTGCACTCTCCCCGGAAGCTCATTGCGGAGTACTTTCACGTGATTCAAGCGAAGCTATGGTTCCCATTGAGAAAATATCTGTTTCACCTCTCACCTTTATTTTATGATCTCTAGTGTTAGCATGAACACAACCGGCGCTTGAAAGATACGCCAAACAGACTGATTCCCCTACGCTGCCGGTGAAGACGAAGACCTTATTGGAGTTCTCGAGAATTTCTTCTTTTCTTACACTCATGATCTACTTCGCACTTTCATGTCACAAAATCACAACTATGCCATCGCAAGATGCACCTATGACAAGGAAAGCCTCCCAGGAGATGAAGCACTTTTTCAAAATAATTTTTTTCGCATGCTGTAGAGAGACACGCGCAGGGAGCATAATCCTGAGAATGCTTTTTTTTCTGAGAGGGTCTGGAAATGCTAAAAAACATGTCGAAACCATGGCTTGTGGTTCGATCCCCACTGAGGACAAATTTTTGCATTTCTCCGATTTCCACTTTCTGGGGCTCATATATGTTTGAACTTATTCAGTGAACAAAAAGCTTCCAAATGCAAGTATTCAACTCTACAAATGCTGTAGAATTTTTTGAAAATGGAACACTTCTCAAGGAAAATTTTATGCCCTTTTCTGGCAGTTCCAGGGCCGCTCAGAAAAAATGATCATCATATTTATGCTTCACGCATGTACCTCTATAACATGCAACAAACCGTTTTGAAAGCGCTCCATGTTCTGAGCGATTTTGCTGGTGAGACCCGTTCAATTTCGGCGATGAAATCACCTAGCACTAATTTTAGTGTGACACTTACCGGATAGGGCATATTGGTGTACGTGCCAGTTCCGCTTCTACCCATCGTTCCATGTCTACTGCTAGGGTAGTCACGAGCTTAAATTGTTTGGAATCAGCTTCACAACCACGCCAAAGCAAAATTAATGCACTACTGTATAATCACTCACGATCGAATTCGTATTCTACAAGACAATTCCGCTCATAAAGTGATGGATCGATTTGCTGCATATAACCGTTGGGATTTACTTCCTGAAAATGGCCTTATAAACGGTCTGTATTACAGATGTGAACATCGAAATTGAGCATACAATCATTGTGCGTACGCTGTGATCGTCCTCACTCGCCTCAGGAATATCGTGTTCTTCTCGCTCACATCGCACAGCTCCCTCGGCCTGAAAACAATACCTTTAACTTTGCAGTTCGTACAGAGATGAATTAATCACTTGATTCATAAGAAGAAGAACTGGGATATTAGATGGATGGGACTGCATCAAGTTGAAAAGCCCTTCAGTAGAAGGATACTGGGGATGGGTCTACCACCCAGGTCGTTCCACAAACCTGGAGCAACCGACGTCACCTACGGTGTCGTAGAAGAGTACTGGCTGAAAAGGGACCATCCTGAGAAAGCCAGTTGAAATCAAAAATAGGGGTGAATAGCAGTTCAAATGAGTTTCCAGGGAGAAACAAAAATAGAAGCAACGGTCCATCCCGTTGCGTTTTAAAGAGAAATAAGTTGGTCGAGAAATGAGGAAGACGAAGGCGGAAGGCAAATACTTTTGATGAGGTACAAATTGTGAAGTGAAAAGCGCTGCAAGATTAGGGGATAAACGGCTAGTCCACTCTCGAAATTCTTAGCCGTGCAGGGAAAGATATCAGGTATAGTAAGAGTCAGCAAACACAAACTGTCCCACAAGCAGGTTGGCTTCAAGCCTGAATTATCCAGGAAAAATATCAAGCGTGTGAAGAATCAGCAATCTGCACGGAACAGTATAGTTTCCTCCCTGAATGTCCACATCTCACGCCATCCATCGTAGACCAATACATTGGAGAAGTATACAGAACAATGTAGACCTTGCGACCTAGTATGCGCAACCTTCGGGAGGCCTCCGGTCCTCCCAACCGCGGTCACTCTCCAGAGAAGTCTCAGAGAATGGAGCAATCCAGAGTACTCAATTTCTTCTTGAGGACGTGTACGCTCATGTTGTATGCGAGGCCTTCAAAAAAGAAGGCGACATCACGGTTGGGGTCAACGCATTATCAAATCTGAGCGCTTCCCTTTTCCTACTAACCCAAGCTTTTCTGGTAAAGGGACTCAGTGAGAGGTCATTGTAGATCAGATAACCTCTGAGCTGACAACATTGCACTGATAAACTCGAGGGCAATGTGAAAAAAAACGGCAGAAAGCTTTTCATTGACGCAAAGAAGCTTTTGAGCTTTTCATAGGAACACAATGCAATCGTGAAATACCACAGGAGAATCATCGAATAAACGCGTCAATTATGGAATGGAGAAAACCCAGTAGGAGTTTCCGCAATCTAAGGTGCTCAAGGACCAAGGGCAAGGCTTGTCTGACAATGATAGGCTCACCTTGCTTTACGGCCAAGCGAAGTTTCCCATTGGCACAATTGTGGAAGGCAATTTCACTCGGCTAGGACTGAGTATGCTGATGTGGGCGTGCGGCTAGGCGAAGTGGGACAGGGCCAAAAACAAAGGCGTGAGTGAGACATTGCAAACAGTTTCCGTCCAGCTGAAGGCTCGAGGGCAGTGACGTTGATGACATGGATACGAGTTGAAGTATCATCAGGCAAATGTATGTGCTATCGTAGAATGTGCAATTAAGTACTATGTGTAATAAGAACACTTCAAATGCGCCCAAACTCTCATGGGGGTAGGGGGAGGGGAGGGTAGAATCGGCGTGGGAGTATAGGGTCTCCTGTTGGCCAAAGAAGTTGTGAGAGTGTTATTTCACCTGCAACATCGTCCCGTACATTTGGACCGGCCGCACACCTTCACCATTTATTGCGGTACGCACCATCTCAGTCTTTTCTAGAAATATTGAGCTTATTAGATCACTGGGAAGTGCTGCGAGTGAACTTCTGACGTGCCCTGTATCTTCTTTTTCTTGTTACGTCGTTGGAGGTAACAGAGAAGGAGGCAGTTGAACAACAATAGCACAGTTCCTCCAATGGCGAGCAGCATGATCACTGGGCGCGGGATCGACTCCTTCTGTAACAAGGTGCACTGGTGAGAAGCGCGGAATCTGAGTTCCCGTGCTTCATGAGAAGAAAAAACTCACCCTTCCTGCCATTACAGCGACACCCATACCGTCTTCACTCAGAGTGGCAAAGGCAGCCGGCGGTCGGGTCAGTTCGGAAGTGAACCCTCGGCTGTTAATGGACCGCAGTTGAAAAAGGTATATAGAAGATGGCGCCAATCCAGACAATCGAAGATTCTACAACAAATCTGCATACTCTTAAACTATTGATTTTTTTGTTAAAAAAATCGAACCGAGTGTGAAGTGTTGACGCCATGCATTCCTTCCTCGCCATCCTTCTGATATCTCACTTCAAAAGTCTGGTCTGAACCACCATCAAAGCCAGGTGTCCATGATATTGAAATGGTGTTTGAGGTAGCGTTTGTCACATGAATATCGAGTGGAGCATCTGGCGGAGACGGAGGCCCAATCTGAAGTGCAGCCAAATTTATTACAAAAGTGATACGTCCTAAACAACTGATTACACCTAAGATTGGAAGAGACCATCCAACAACCCGAACCCAAGGTATGTATTTATCTGTTGAAAAAGAAGTCAGAAATGCTCCTACGGCCGCATCTGCAGACATTCAGACTCACAAGTTGCGAGGAGAAAATACCTCTCCATCCGTTAAATGGGAAAACTGCCAGAAGGACAGAGCAAGTACCGAGCGTACGATTCCTTAATAGTCGACATTTCTATGAAATAATAAACCTCGAAGCTGCAGCATACATCTGCAGCTGCAGCATCTGCAGCTTTTCTGAGAGTGTGGAAAGGGAGTCGCTTTTTGACTTTCGTTCTATTTCTTTGGGGTAGACGCAACAATTACTAGATGGGGGTCGCGGAGCCGCACCACATGTGTTTGGCCATTGTAAGGAACTGTCCTCATTCGAAAGCATAGAATACTACTAGTCGTTTAAAACGTGCCGCGGACCGTTACGTGCTGCTGGTCGCAGCTGAGCCACACATTTGAGGCCGCAGTCGTCGAGACGAGCTTAGCTCAACGGCAGGCAAAACTCCAGCAAAGTCATGCTTTGATTAATCCTCACTACTACGCATCCTCATTAAATACACGAACCAGGAGATACGGCCGCTTAAGATTGAATGCATTTTCGTAAGAAAACGCGAGCGATAATTGTAACAGTATAGCACCCAACACGCTTCTGCCATTGTTCAGCAGTTCGATGATGGCAGAGGTGCCATGTCTTGTCCCTGAGGCTACAGTGAAACTATTTCCCCTTCTTCAGCATCAAATTCATCGTACCAATGGTCATCCTTTTTTTGGGTATGAGCTTTTGAAATGTGCTGTTCTGCGAGTGGGAAAATCTATTGCTGCTTAGGGCCAGCATAAAAAACTAGCGACAGATAAGAAAAATTCAACCCTGAAGTGGAACTACGTAGTCGCGGTAGTCACGCGAGAAGGAGCACTGCGCATCACATGATCAAGGTAGAGGTGGTCAGTGATGCAGGAACGTAGAAAAGCCATGAGAAACGGTCCAGGACCGGAGTAATGAAACCGTTTTTTACTCTCACGGCTATGCCCGTCAGTCGCGGGTATGGATCCAAGAACAAGAAGGATTCCCAGTGAGGCAACTGGGACTCTCATCCGAGCTGCCTCTTCAAGCTAACGCTCTTTCTGCCAAACGGCTAGAGTCAGACGGCGGCGCAGTCATAACCCTGCCAGGCCACTTGGGTCATACTCTTCGCTGCGAAACGCGCATCGTCCCCTTCCTTCAGAGGGGCCGCCTGCCTTTTGACTAGGTGTATTTCCCCTTCTTGGACTTTCGCCCTTATCATGAAATCCTCCTCTGAGACCTACCTCAATCTGTTGCGCCTTCTCAGGAATCAGTCGCCTACTCGGCAACTCATTGTCAGGTAATTGCTCACGAAAATGTTAAATACGTTGTTCACGCTGCGCCAGTGAACAGATCCATGCCGCATTCTTCTTGATGTATGGTTTTCCTCTTTAAAGGCACATTACGCGATTACTCGAATAGGCAATCCTTACCTTTTGTAAAGTAATCGGATGACAAGCAAACAGGTCGCTCCTAGCCTCAAGGTGCCTTTCAGACGGTCAGTTCACTCACAAGTGCTGTACTAGCCAAATGCACGCCTTGAAATTCTATCAACGCTGTTATATGTTGCTTCGCTTATTTCTGTTCTTTCTTGCCCCCTCGTCGTGAGAGTTCCTTGTTCTGAGATGCGCTCTTCTGCACAGCAGGCCAGACGTGCAATGCCCCAAATCAGTGATCAAATGAGAGCCTTACTCAGGGCCATTTCGACAGTTTCTTTTCCCTGCTCCTTATTTTCCACTGGCAACTCACATATGCACCACCTACAGTCTCTATGTGAAATCCAATAGCCACGTCCTGCTTTCGTAAGTGTGCCTTTAACAAGCAACGCTCTCTGAAGCGCAGTGCACATTAATTTCAATGATCTTGCTCAGACTTTCAACATATGCACTGTTTTCGAGAAAGAGAGAGTGCAAGAATGAAACGAAAGCAATGTTGTCATTCAATTTGAATTTGATACTAACCGGAATATGAAAGCTATCCGTCCCGAAGCTGTTCCTAGCCGTACATCTAATATCGTTTGCGTAATCGTCTGGTGATAAGTTGCTTATCCACAATGTACTCTGGAATGACACAACTCACAAAATTCGAGAATTTCACAAAAGTAATCGAAGTCGGAATTTACCTCGAATGTCGAATAGTCGAGTTGTATCGTGAACATCCCGTATTTTGAGTTGTTACCCTGAATAATCTCGCCTGCTCGATCCCAAACGAAATCCGCGTCTGGGACAGCATGAGCACGACATCGGGCGCGAGCACGACCTCCTGCAAAGAAACCGTACATATCACTTACTGCTACTATTCTAGGCTTCAGTATTGATGCCGTGCTTTTACAACAATTGCAGCAAAACCTAGTTCCTTAGTAGATGCTTGTTCACATAACACACCATCAAGGTAAGGTATGGTTACACCAAGGCAATGCATGTATTTGTACATTTTCTATAACTTGACGGTGTATTATGTAATGGGCTAAATCCGAAACGAGGGTAGTAACTATGCTGTTTAGTATGTCTTGTGCTGCTACGCTAATTGTTTGAGATATTGTCTTCGTGTGATTATGTTTTACTTGCGCACATTTCTCAAAAAATATGAAAAGCCCCTGGTAAACTCGAAGCGTTGAAAACCCTACCAAGAGGTCCTGCAGCTCGTGATAGGAACGGTAGAGCCATGATCTTTGGTGCGGTGTTTACCAACAAGTAAGCCGTGCCTTCTCCTGGAAATCCGATACCGTTGTCGGCACGGCAGACGTACTGACCGGCGGCTTCTTTCGTGGCGTTCAATCGTAAAGTCACATGAGTCTCACTTTTTCTTATAGCGGGTATCTGAAAAGGTCACTATTTTAAATAATAATAATAT